CTCCAAATAATCATCATTTCAACAGTGCCCCAATTAGCCGGCCATTCACAGTGGATTGAAAATTGACTCACACTGGGCCTCTCCATTAGCGCCTGGGAGAGACTTCCAGCCTTAATAATCCTCCCTGCTCCAGAGGCTGGGTGCTTGTTTTATACCACAGGTTGTCATAGGAGGGGCCACCATGCCCCTTGAAGGGAGAGGCTGTCGGCACAGGTGGGAGTGGCGGCATGGCTCTTAAGTCTTAATGGCTACTACTTTTGGAAAAAGAAATGTTTTTTTGAGTTTAGCTTATGTTTCATCATGGCATCTTGTTCCCTTCCCTTCTTCCATATTCTGCTCCTTCCTGCAGGTCCCCTCCTTTCCATAGTTTATCCCCTAATATCTTCATGTCACTTGTTCTCTGTTTTCCTCTTCCCCGAAGTTGGGGTGACTTTTTAAAGGGGGGTTCTGAGACAGGGCTCTGCTGTGTACCTTCGGCCAGTCTGGAACTCACTGTGTAACCCAGGCAGGCCTTGAATTCATGACAGTTTTTCTGCCTCAGGCTCCAAAGTGATGGGGCGAGCTTCCACACCCCTTGGTAACAGGTACTTCTTAAGGTCCTGGGCATGACTTGGGTGCAAGTGTTGCTGGAGGGAGATAGGGAGGGTCCCTGGAGAGAGGAAGGAAACTGATGTCTGTTTGGTACCGTCCTTGTGCAGGGTGGAGAAGGCACTAGCGATTGGCCTTCTGAGTCAGTAAGCGGAGACGCCCATCTCCATTGACTAGAACAGTGAGGCTCAGAAAGGATCTTGTGCCCATGGCCACATGGCTGCTGACGAGATGGACGAAATGGGAACTTGTGTTTATGAGACTCTTATGCTCTTCCCAGCTCTGGTGAGGTAGCTTCTGGTGAGCAATTTTGCACAGTCCTTGGGTCTTCATCATACTTTACCCTATTGGTTTAAAACTTCATTTGAGATTCTGATGCCAACCACTTAACTACATCTCCTGCATCCTAGAAAACCTCCTTTCTCTTTCCTCTTGCCTGACTGTAGAACATTTGTCCTGGGAGGATTCAAAGTGCACAGGGAGAGACATATATGCTATTGGTGTGTTGGGCATTTACGCGAAATAGACAGGAGGGAAGGAGCCAAACCTTGGTGTTCAGTGGCATGTATGTACAAATGGGGAAACTGAAGCTCAATATTTTGTGACTTCAGAGTTTGGTGTATATGGATTAGGGAGCTGGCTTACAGGTGGTGACCTAAGAGAGAGCTGGGGAGATGGGTGATAAGCCAGGAGGAACTGATGACTTGTAGGAAGGGTACAGGAGATGGAGTTCCTAGACCATTAAGTCTTTCATTGTTCAGTTTATTTGAAAAGATCTTAATGCAGTGTCTTAGTATTGAAGAGACAATCAAAGAGCAACCCATTCACCATCATGGTGCCTTCACCATTTGGGTTTCTTGTCTTATTTGAAGTCATGTTTCTATCACACAGCAATCAGCATACAGTTTTCTTTTCCTCTTGACCATGTCTCAGAAGCATTTCAGCCATGTCTGTTGCAGCCTGGGAATGGCCTGGTAGTTCACCTTTGGCTAGCCCCATCCCTTGATGCTTGTGTGGCCTCTCGTTTTATTATTTCAGAAGCAGAAGCAAAAATCTGTTTCCTAAGTGGATATAATGAGAGCAACGTGGATTCATACATATCAAATGCTCCACAGAGCTGGCGCAGAGGAAATTCTCACACAGTAGCCCTCTTTCCTCTATGATTCTCCACTTATCCATCATTGGAGGATTCTGTCTGCTTTTTAAAAATCAATTACCTATTCATGTCATGAAATTCTGGCAAAATATAGGAAAATAAAAAAAGAAAAGCATTCCCAAATTGCTCTCACTTTGAACATTTTGCATTTTTTCTTTCTAGTCTTTCTTTCATACATATTGAATTTTACTTAATTGACGTTGTAAAATACATAATACATGTATTTTTGTATGATTTTCATGTACCTTTTTTATGACAAGTACTTACCCATATTGTTATGGTGTTTGGTGCACAGCTGTAAAGGTTGTGTGTGCTTTTAGGGTCTAGCACTTCTATACCCACACACCTATTTGCATCTTTCTGAAGGTTTGCAGTGTTTTCTGGGTACCACTGAGTGTCCTCTTACATTTCTGGATCTAGCACTGTTCCCATGGTCTGGATAGATGCCCAGAGAGGAATGAGGAACACAGGGCATGAAAACGTCAGGATCCACACTGTATCCTTGTACAAATCTTTATGAGCTGCCATAATTTTCCCACTGGGTGTGGTTGGTGTGTGTGTGTGTGTGTGTGTGTGTGTGTGAGAGAGAGAGAGAGAGAGAGAGAGAGAGAGAGAGAGAGAGAGAGAGAGAGAGAGAGAAGCGTGGCAGAGATCATTCTTGTCCTCCTTGAGCTTGAGGGTTTGAGGAGGGTCAGGGGGCTGTAGAGGCAATGTGAAGTGCCATGGCAAGGAAAGGGTAGGTATCTTGAAAGAAGGGCTTGGTTACCCTGGGAAGGTTGATTCGGTTCTGAAGCAAGAATGTGTATGCAGCAAGCTGAGTTCCAGAGCTGAGGCAGGTGACTGAGAATGTAGAGATAGAATGAGGAGCATTAAGTGCAGGCATGGTGTGCCAGCAAGATGTCCCCCAGGTAGGCATGCATGTGTGTGAGTGCATGCAGGGGTCAACATCAGATGCTGGCTTCTGTCACCGAGGTAGTGTCTCTCACTGAACCCCTGACTTATCTCGTGGAGCTGCTCAGAGAGCCACAGGGTTCTTCTCATCTCTACCTGCCTGGTGCTAGGATTATAGGTGTGCTCTATTTTGAGATGCTAATACAGTCACATCATTTCTCCCTTCCCTTTCCTCCTTCAAATTCTTTCATGCACCCCCCCCCTCGCTCTCTTTCAAATTCATGGCTTCCTTTCTCACTGATTGTTGCTACCTATGTGTGTTTATGTTCCTGAATATACAAATACAACTTTCTAAGTCTGTATAGTGTTATTTGTATGTATGTATTTTCAGGGCTGACCATTTGGTATTGGGAAAATCAATTGATGTGCTCTTCCTGGGGAAGGCTTTTGTTCAGCCTTCCTTCATTGCCTATAGCTTTTCTTTTTTTTTTTTTTTTGCAACAGATAGACTATTACAGAAAATCACAACCAATACAGATAGACTGTTACAGAAAATCACAACCAATCAAAACACAGAGTTGTAGAGCCCAGTTCCAACGGATAGGTCTTTAACATAACTCTTGCACTAAGGCTTGAGAATCATTTTGAAAGAAGGGATGGAATGGTTGTAAGATCCAGAGGAACGGGGAGTTTGCTTTGAGATTGCAGCTCTAGGCATGTCAGAAGCTACACTTGAAGTCTCACCAACAGGACTTCCTAATGTGAGCTGAACAATAGACAGGTTAAGATGGATGAAGCTCAAAGAACTCCAGGCACCTAAGGAATGTGTGGTCTTCTGTTTCTGGGTGCTGGGCATCAGAACTAAGATCCTTATGACTGTGGGGCAAGGATTTTATATGTGGAGCCATCTCCCTCGTCCTTGCTGGGTGTCTTTAAACAGATAAAATGTGATTGGATTTCTGTGAAACCAGCATGGAGGGGCAGAACATTTGGGTGACTATGAGATCCTTGAGAGACCTCATGCCCTTTGTTCCCCAACTCTAGCCCTTGGCATGTGAAGTGGAAGAATCATTGGGAACTGGGCTTGAGTTATCACCTATGATGATCCCCAGTGTGTATGGCAAAGCCCTGGTATGGGAGAAGCTGCTGTTGGTGCCAGCCTGTGAAGGGAACACCTCCCCCTTCACATATTTTCCAGCCTTTCACTTCCTTTCATTGGGGTGAGCGCTCTTGTTTTCCGCCTCCTTCTCAGCCCTGTCTGAAGCATTACATAAACTCCAGGGCTCCCACGAAGGAACTGCATTGTCAAAGTTGTTCAAAGCCTACCGCGTGTAGCAGATGGCTCTCTGCCATTCACAGGCTGTGTTTTGAGACTGCATCTGCTTTCCCACACTCCCGCCATCACACAGAGCATCCCTAAGACAGGCTTGCCTCAAAACTGGTTCAGGGAGTTGTGTTGCGGGGAGTAGGGTCTTTGTATCTGCTCTGATGTCCCTAATAGGTATGAGCTTATGGCTAGCGGTGGTGCCCCTTGGAGTCATTGGGTGACTTCCAAAGTCCAGGCTCCTGAGTGTGTCATCTCAGAAAGGGTGGCTGTCATCTCAGTCTCATTTTTCTGTGCCCTTGGTAACTGCCTGAGCTACGGGTGCCTCTTCCTTTGTGATTGTCAAGTGGCTTTTGAGCAATCCTGGGCTTCTGGAGCCATCCACTTCATCTGGGATTTGATCCAGTATTCTTGTGATAGGACTCAAGTGGACTTGGCCAGGAGACCGAGGCTCCTGCCCACTTCCATTCCCTGTTCTGGGTCCTCTGGGGGTAAGCATATGTCTTCCTGACATCATGATGTCATCCGGGTCTTGCAGATCCAAGCAGTTCAGTTCAGGCAACAATTGCAGAGCACATGCTGCATTCTTTGCCCATGACACAGGACATAAAGATTCCCCAGCATGAGCTTTGGTCCCTCCCCAGCATTTTGGCTACTGGCCCCAAGGTGAGAAACAATGTCTAATTGAGAGTTCTGTTTGGTGAATCAGGGAGATTTGGGGTGGATCCCCCCCTGCTGTACTACCCTTCTTTGATTGGTCTGGAGTTAATGATTTTGCCACCTCTGACCTTTCTTTCTTTCCTCATCTCTTAAATGGGCCTGAGATTATGTAGCTGGATGTTTCACCAAGGTTTTCAGTGTTCATGGTATAAGGTTATCAGCAACTAATTAATGAGAGCTGCTAGCCTTCCTGGGCTCTTGGTTTGTGTGGGGAGACATCACAGGGCCACAGGCATGAGCCGCTGGGTGGAGCCGTGGGAGTGAAGCCTGTACAGTCGTGGCCCGTGCTGATTTCTTCTTGTCTTTTTCCTCTCTTTCCAGCCTGTGACCTCATGACCCAGGGAATTTTGGCCTTGGTCACATCCACAGGCTGTGCATCTGCCAACGCCCTGCAGTCCCTCACAGATGCCATGCACATCCCACACCTCTTTGTCCAGCGCAACCCCGGGGGTTCACCACGAACTGCCTGCCACCTGAACCCTAGCCCTGACGGTGAGGCCTACACACTGGCTTCGAGACCACCTGTCCGTCTCAATGACGTCATGCTCAGGCTGGTGACAGAGCTGCGCTGGCAGAAGTTCGTCATGTTCTATGACAGCGAGTATGGTGAGTCCGGGGTGGGCGGGCTGAGGCTTGGTTTTAGGGACAGCTGGGTGCTGGTAGTTTTAACCCCAGAGGCTTCAATCAGGGGACCCAGAACTGGGGTGCCATCAGGGTGTAGATCCATGCTGGTGATCTGAACGGAGTCTTCCTCAGGGTGGTAGGGCCCAACCTTGAGCTTCATGAATCGGAGAAGAGCTGCAAAAACAGATCTGTAGATAGGCATGAAAGTTGCCTAGCAACATCACCTTATCATGACAGCTGAAGTTTGAATCATCTTAGAATTTTCAATAAAATATTAATAAACTGCTGGCAGGGATCTGAAGAGCTGCTTACAGGCAGCGGTGGAGGCTGCCTGCCTGGGTCCTCTTGGCATCTTCTCTGAAGGTTACCCCTCATGCTGGATGCTGGTCCAGCCTTGACTTATTATTTGCATCCACCTCTATCTGCCCTGCTTCAGGGTCTTGGGCTGGGGCGAAGAGCGGAAGGAGGGATGCCTTAGCCGGTGGGCCTGGGGACCCTGTATGACTGTGCACGGCTGCTCTGAAGACCTCTTCGGAGGAAGGAAGCATAATTTACTTGCTAGGAAACCACAAGAGTGGGCTTGGGAGAAGCCGCTTCATGTTTGGTGACAGCGCCTCTGTAAATAGATCAGCTCAAGTCCGGAGATAAAATGGCTTCCATGATTTGTGCTTCAGAAAGGTTTTACTTGGAGACCATCGCCAGCCTCAGGCCATTATGAGAATCACTGCAGAAGGGTCTCCTGTGTTCTTCACCCAGTCTTCCTGAGGCTAGCACTTTGCTTAGCTGTAGTGCAGCATCTCAATCAGGGTTTGATCCCGGGACACCCTGAACCCTCTTCTTAGTTTACCAGTGTCCGTGCACGTGTCCAGTCCAGTCTGCCGTGGGCATGGATTCCTGTCTGCAGTGTTTATCTTACATGCATGCTTGTGTGATTACCAGCCCGGATCCAAAGTGGTTCGCTTAAGAGTTGCTATGCTGCACCTTTAGAGCCACAGTCACCCCAATACCTGGTCAGAGTTGATGGGCACTTGTAAGGCTTGGAAGTCCCCTTAGCTGAGGTTTGGATGGAACTATGCAACACTTTAAAGTCCAGCTTTGTCTCCTGGTGAAATAATCCCTTTGCCAAGAATGTAACTAAGAAAAGAAATCAGCATATGTTTGCATTTGCCTAAAGACTCTGCTTCCCTAAGTCTGGGACGCTGTCCTCCGTGCTTGAACAAATAAACTGTTTGGAGCCTTCCAGGAAGAATTGAAAGAGCAAACAGTTACTGTGTTGAAATCAAAATGCAGTAGTGGTGGGGAAAAGGGTGGCTCAAGGCTCCGGGGATTTTCCTGTCGTGCCCGGGAACTGGCCTTTCCAACACCTGCTCAGTCTCAGGTCCTGCAGGGGCTGGAGACCTTGTAATAGCACTGATGTGCCCAGGGTATCTCTGAGAAATCAGGCCTTACCCCAGGAACCAGATCTGGTGGGAGGTGTGGCCACTGCTTGGGTTGGGGCACTTTATACTCTAGGATGTGCAGCCCTTTCTGATCTGCTCCTCTCGGGGTCTCTGGCCTGCACACCCCATTCTCCTTGGGATCTTTTGAGGAGCCACAGCTGCAAGGGTGGGTCAGGAGGCCAGCTCTGTAGCCTGCTCATTGTCTGGTCTTCTGTGATTCCTGGAGACTGAGTGGTGCCTGAGGCGCTTCCAGACCCTGTCCTTCTTATTATACTTCTCACTTCCATATAACTCACATAGCAGACCTTCCAGGAAAAGGGGGTTTCCCCCACCTGGGTCCAGCATAGCTGGCTTCTTGGTCACCTGCCCACCCGTCCTCAGTCCACTTGGCTTAGCCTGCCACTCGTGCGGACTTGTCACCTCCTGCAGAGGTGGTTATGCCCAGAGGAGCAGGCCATATGCTTTTTTTTTTTTTTTATTGTAGTTCAGCACTGTGCCTGGCACCATATGAATGACAAATTCATGGATGAAGACGTGGGCATTTCCAGTGGTTTTTGAAAAAGACAGAGGAGAGATTTGAGAAGGATGAGGGCACTGGGTGGCCTGACATCTGCTCTCGCATAGGTAGGGAGCTAGGAAGAGTGGTTCATCGTGCAGAAACACTTCTAGCTCATGTTCTTCATCCCCTAACCCCAAACCTGAACAGCCCCCAAAGTGCGCCTCCCTGCTCTGATAGGATGCTCTCCCACCTTTCCTGGAGTTGGCTTTAGTGCTTGGCTAAGCCTGCCCTGTGTCATTAATCCCGCAAACATGCTGAGCGAGTAGCAGCTTTCACTGGATAAGTCACTGTGTTGAGAAGGATGCAGAGGCTGTATGTGAGCTCAGGGGCACAAAGCCATGGTTAGGGTGCCAGGAGGCTTCCATGGTATTGGGAGGGACTGGAAGCTGCTCACCAAGTCTGCTGATTGTAGTAGTTCAGCCTGGAAATGGGTGGAGCTCCTCAGGGCTGAGGAAAGGCAAAGCCCGCCCCAACCTGCCGATGGTGCTGTCCAGGGTCCTGACCCATGTGGCGTCTGATGCTCTGGAGGTCACAATTCTTTTATTGCATTCTGTACAGGACCCTGCTACTTTTGCCCACCCTGGTCATCAGCCTCTTAATCTGACAACCTTTGAAGCTAGTTTTTGTCTATAAAAGTTCCTCTGCTACGACTGTTGCTTCTTGGCCTCATTATTTCCTCACGAATACCCGCCCCCCCCCCATTTGCTCCCAGAGTCCCATTAGGTGAGCTGAAGTAGACAACGCTCGCAGCATACTCAGCCCTCAGAGTGGCATGTGGTAGATCCACTGGCACTGGAATCCACTGGCTGAGGAATGTCCATGTACCATGGTGGATTCATGTTGCCAGAGCCCCATGTGGTGGTGTAGTTTCAGATGAGCCCAATTAAGAAGCAAATTGCGTGTAAATGCTCTTATTCCTCCCCAAGTCAAATGGAAGCAACTTGGGATCTAGAGCCTTTTCAGTGCTGATCTGTAAGCATCTTTACACATTATTTCATTTATGCTACGTTTTACCACCTAAGCAATATGGTTCAGGAGATGCTGTTGGGCGCTAAGGCCCATGCACTTAGCCAAGGTACCATCCTATTTCTTGCTAGGCTTTAGTTTTCTTTCCTGGTGCCCAGTCAATCATATTCATTGCCGAGCTGGGACTGTGACTTAGAATGGACCCAGCGTGTCTCAGGAAGCAGCTCATCCTTTAGTGAACATAACATACAGACCCTTCCTTTGTGTGTGTGTGTGTGGGGGGTGAAGATTGATTCTTCCCCATTTCCCCGTCAGTCTCCCTTTAATCTTAGGAAAGTCTTCCCCTGGTAGAATCTGAGGCCTGACCATTTGCATCATGTGTAAGATCAGAGCAGAAAAGCCCTGAGGGAATTTGACAGAAAGCATACTGTGAAACTGGACTTTGAGTATCCCCTGAATGTTCCCATGTTAAAGGCTTGGTCCCCACAGGGATGATGTTGGGAGGGGCTATGGATCTCTCAGAGGGTAGGTCCTAGAGGGAAGTCTTTCAGTCACCAAGGCAAGTCTCTGAGGAAGATTACGGGAATCCCACCTTTGTGTCTGATTCCTCACGTGTGATACGAGCAATGTTTCCTGTCTTGTTCTTCCACCATGACTGCCGCACTTCCAGAGATGCAAAGCACCGAGACTGCCTGATCTTGAACTTATTGTCCATGACTAGGGGCCAAAGCAAACCTTCCTTTTAACATGGAAATTGCCTCAGGTATTTCACTCTGATGACAGTAGTTTGACTAATACTGGGTGAGAGAGGAGTCTGTATGCAGTTGGTTTACAAAATATGAGAGGTGCCATTTGGTACAATTCCATGGAAAACACTTGTGTGCTTGTTGTGACAGCTAGGGGAAAATAGAAGGGAAACTGACATTTGGGATAGAAAATCCATAACATTAAAATACCAAAAGTTTGGATGGAATAGTGCAGAGAACTTTCTGTCTTCATGCTTCAGTTGCTGGTGTGTGTGCGTGTGCGCGCGCGTGTGCATGTGTGTGTGTGCGTGTGCGCGCGTGTGCATGTGTGTGCATGAGCATGTGTGCATGTGTGTGTGTACATGTGTGTACATGCACATGCAGGTGCATGCCATTTGCTGATTCACTTGGTAAATATTCATGGAATCTCTACCACATGACACACATTTTTCCTCTTGTTCATTGTAAAGGAAGAAACAGGGTCACTTTGCTCATGTTGCCTGTAACTGGCTTGGCCCAGTGTCTCACTTCTAGCGTCTCCAGGGTAAGCAAAATCCTGGAAGGTTGGGAACTGTGATTCTATAGAAGCAAAGCCTCAGGTCCCTGCTTGAGGGACCACTACATTTGTTTTAAAGTTACCGTGTGTGTGTGTGTGTGTGTGTGTGTATGTGTGCGCATGTGCGCACATGTGTGCACATGAGTGCAGGTATGTACACTCACGTTTGTGCACACATGACCTGAGTTCAACCTCAGGTGTTTATTTTTTCAATCACGGTCTGCCACTGGGACTTAAGGCTTTTTGATTAAGCTCCTAGCTAGCCCAAGGACCCTCCTGTCTCTGTCCCCCATCCAAGGCTTTCTGCATTGGTGTAGGGGATGGAACTCAGTTCCTTGTGCACTTTACTGACTGAGCCACCTTGCCAACCCCTTACAAATCACCCTCTCAACACTGGTAGTTATACATGATTGTAATGCATATTCCCAATTAAAATATTAATAATGATAAAAGGAATTCCTGGAACCGCGAGTCCTCAACTTGAATTGTTTCCTCTCCTTGTGAGGAGACTGAACTGCTGTCTTGATTGGTGCTAGCCATTCCCTGGCTATCTGACCGCTTTGGATCCGGTAATAGGTGTTTGTTTATTTGGCGTCTTTGTGAACCATGAATATGTGTAATAATGCTTCTGCGGCTGTTCTGTGCGCCATCCATTTGATGCAGATATATTAATATTTTTATTGCCCCACTATATATCTAATTTATCTACATGATCA